CTGTCATATATTATAAGATAGCTTTAAGTACGTTTGGTTTTTATTGGTAGACAGTATGTCTAATACTGTTCATGTTTCAAGACCACTGTCATTAAACATTTTCCCCAGCAATAACATCGGTAGCAGGATAACTAAGTGTCTGAGCTTTTATTTGCCTGCAGAAGAGTAGTATACAGTCTTAGAAGATGAATGTTCTGTGTCTCAATTAAATGAAGCTGGCTGTGGACAAATGTTAAGAATCTTTTTGATAAATGGAACTTTTAGTTTATCAGACACTAACTCTGCTTGTATGTCTTCCTGTTAAACTAGATGCAGAAGCTTGGGAATACTTAAATGAGGGCAAAACAATAAAAACATTGTGATACGGTACTAAGTCCATGTTATGCTTTGCACAAGTAATAGTAACTAACCTGATCTAATATTCATGAACTCAAGGTAAGTCACAACTGCATAAATTCTTTGCTAAAAAACATGTAATTTGGTTATTTATCTATTCCACATTTCTGACTAAATTCATTACTATTTTCTCATTTAGAATGCAACAGGAGTAAGCCTTCACAGATCCTAAGAACTGTTTAACCCTTAGAACTATGACCCTATGAAACTGTTTGCAGAAGACCCAACTAACAACAGATTATAAAAAGGATGCTGGATGTCCATTTTAGTCTCACAACCACTTTCAGTACTTTTTGAGTTACTTCTTTTACCCTTTCGTCTGGAAAAAAACAACAAAGACAGCAGTTTAACATTACCGGTGCAACTTTTAAACAGGGACTTCTTTTAAACCTTTGTTTGATATTCGATTCTTAATGAAAGTTCCTGAGCAAATTTTTAAATCTAATGCTACTTTGTTTTATCTACTTAATCGTTGCAAGAAACTTGTGATATACGAGCCTCTCAGCATCTAGTTCATATGTAGTAAATTTAAGTGATTTAGTACATATCTTCGTCCTTTTCTTGGGAAACCTACAGACTCGGGTCTTCTCATAACTTTTTCTAACCACCATGAGTTGTCACGGCAGCTGATGGATGTACACGCGTTACCTACCCTAACGGTATCTGCGTCTAGTCATATAGCTCCCTATTCAAATGCCATATGATAGGCAAGCAATGCTGCATATTGCAATTTTATTTTTCAGAAGTAAGATATAACGGTTAGAATTGTAGTAAAATGGCAGTATATAGCAGATGCACGTGGTACATGTCTTCATCGATTAACTGAAATAGAGAATACGGATATTAGCTTAACAGGCTTATTTAGAAAGACTATTGTCTACTTTGAACTTACTGTGTGAGAAAGTTATACTGGAACTACGAATAATGTAGGAATCTAGTCTCCCAGGGCGTACGAAGCACTCAAACTGGGAGACAGTTGTTTAAAAATAATTCGAATATGAATGTGAAAATTTGCAGGTACTTTTCATTGTAAGGGTGAACATATTAGATACCGGTTGACATCATACCGTAAAAAAACACAAATTTGCGAGTGGTGAAATATAATCTATAAAAAAGTGAGCTAAATAACATTTAATTACCTTTTTACTCCCTGGTTATGACCCTTTGGCTTCCTTTTATGGTCAAAACAGCAAACATACACTACACATCGAGAGCAGATTTCCGGCTTTTCAATGCTAAGCTTGCTTTAACGCACGACATAATGAGTACAACCCCTCTATTACTGCTATATGACATATTTTTCATAACAAACCCTCTGCAATAGATTGGTAGCATCTGTGACTTCATCTATAATTGTCGGAAGTCTGGGTCCTTTCGAAATCAGTACCGATATACCCTACTGCTGGGCACTCTGTATTAGTTTGCCTCGTTAGTGGGACAGTGTTGTCCATAATACTGAAGAAAATTAAAAACCGCAGATTGTTTCCTTTCATTTTGCCGATAACATCATAAAGGACAGTTAAGAACGAACATGCAGACAGTTAGTCAGAGGCGGCAGCAACAATTATTTTTAGCTAAAAAACGAGCTTCGACTTTGGATATCTAGAAAACAAGTCAAAACAAAACCGATAAGACTAGCAAGCTTGGCTGAAGAAATACATTGACTTCAGTAGCAGCAGCCAAAACCCAGAAAACAAAGCAAAATGAGGAAAAATTTTGCTCCAACATGCAGAGTATTAGATTAACTTCTGCATTTTAGCACACTGAAACAATAAATTCTGTAGCTACACAAAAGAAATAGCTGAAAAAAGCGTAGAACGAAGAAAGCCGACCTCCATCGCTTACAAAGATAGAGGATATAATAATTCCCGCCTCATTCTGAGTGGTTGCTAAGCTGAAGGCCACATTTATGAAATTGAGTTGCGTTTAATAGCAGCCATTCTCGATATATTGATAGCCTATCAAATATATCTTCGAACCTGCTCGCCTCTGTCTTTTGATTTCACTTGGTTGGTATGATTCATAGTAGTTGTTACTGGTTAAAGCGTTGTCAAACTACAAATACCTGTGACATCTTCACTCTCTACATATTTATAGGTGGTACTAGTAGCATCCCAGCCCCGCTCACTAGAGGAAGAGGTCTAAGTTTGAAATTGGGAAGTATATTCCGCAAAAGCCAGAAAACGAATAATAAGAACAGACACAAATTCATTCGTATATATACAACACAAAACCGTCCCTGGGGAGTTACAAAATAGTATACTAGAAGGCACGACGGACCAATGGCATTTAAGATTCTCCCAAGTGGGAAATATGACATGAAGGTGAAAAGAGCACCTTTGGTGAGAAAACAAAGAAATTCAAATTTTCCAGATAAAACTATAAAACTAGGTCCCTTTCCAAGTGAATTCTGGCGATCTAACGTCCCCAACAAAGGCACACAGAAGGCGTTATCATAAAGGGGAGGCCAGATGTAACTGGTTAAAAACCCCGTGGTATTACTGAACCGAACCAAGAGTTCAACTGGCCCCAATAAGGACCGAGCTTTGTGGAATAAGTTTAAACATGAGTGGGTTGCAACAACGAACTGGTCAGTAAACATAGGGTCGTCAGTCGAAGAAAATGGTCCTATTCAAGGGCAAGCATAGCTTAAGTAAGTTCTCATTTATTTTATGCTTAGCACTACGTAGAACTGTGAATAGCACAGATCCATTTATTATGAGTCTGTAAACACTTGTAGAGCGTTAATAAGTAAGACTGGACTTTCATTTGAGAAGCGATTGGTTAGGGATTGTGAAAATAGTCCAAAACGACTAGTTTTGCTTATAAAGAGGCAAACTCAGAGAAGTGATGGGATCTCATCACTTACGGTACATGAAAATTCGTTGATATTTACAAGAAAAGATGTTGCAAAAGATGAAGTTTTATCAGAATATCTCAGCAAAATGTTTTCTGCCGACGATAGTGAGAGATCAGCACTTAATTATAATGGCGCTTTGTCGATGTACCTTGTGTCTATTGAGGGAGAAAATGTCTTACTATTACTTCATGATATCGAACCAGATGAGTTCAGGAGTCCTGACGATATTCACCCTAGGATAGTGAAAGGACTAGCGGACGTAATTGTTGGACCTTTGGCAATAGTGTTTGTTTGGCAGTTCCGGTTTCCAAAGCGCGGAGTAGAGACTCAGCAACCATTGACCCGTTAGTCTAGCCAGTGTAGTTTTCAAAACAACAGAAAAGGTTATTTGGATGGCTATCCTAAATAATATGGAAGGGAATAATCTCTAAGACAGGGAACATGGTGTTTGAGAATGGGTCTTTCATACTTGACAGACGTCATCATAAGGGGAGATTGGGATTGAGGCGGAAGATAGTAATATTTTGGCAGATGTAACTTTCATAGATCTAAGTAAAGCCTCTGACAAGGCCTCGCACCTGGGTCTTAAATCAAAACTGGGATGTTTTAGAATCCATTATGAAATCATAAACTGGATAAGTGACTTTCTTAATGATTGGAAGCAACGGACACAGGTGAATGGAACACTGCCAGTGTGATGCTCTGTGAAAAGTCGAGTTCCTCAAGATACAAGCCTTGGTCCTCTTTCCTCTTTACTTTATGTAAATGACTTAATAATTGTAGTAGTTATCCGTCCTACATTTTGCAGATGACATAAAATTTTAGGCATCCATACACAGTGTCATACGGAATATTACAGGATGACTCAAACCCCCAGATTGAACGGATGTGTAGGTGATCACTAGAACTGAACTCTAACAAGAGTACGGTGAGGCAAATAAACAACTGCGAAGACTCACTATACAGTTTGTGGAGTTGTATTAACCAAAATAATGGACTTTAGTGATCTAAGAGTCGCGACAAGTAAAGAACTTGAAACTGCTGGCAACTGCAATGTTACTTCTGATAAATGCTTCAGGATCTCATAGGCCATTCGTAAATCATTTTATTATATGGACGAAGAAATATTTAGGGTATTATACATGACTTTAGTGAGGCCGCAGTTGGAGTATGGTATCTAAAAGGCGATTCCTTGCTTCGAATGTGAAGCGAATATGTAGAAACGAGTCTAAGAGCAAGCAACCCAAACGGCGAAAAGTCTCGCTGGCCCACCTTATGAAGACAGACTGAGACACCTCAACCTATTCCCATTGTCCTACCGCGGGTTACATGATCAAATACTGGTTAACCGTACACTAGACAACGATCTTGGTATTAGTAAGCCTCATTTTCTTCCTCCAATCTCTCACTGATTATCTGAGAGCACATTCTAAGGAAGTTCACAAATCGAGGTCAAATCGTTTACGTCTGGAGTTCCGCTTCTCTCACTGAGCAGTAAATTACAGGAAATTTTCACTAGAACACATAATATCGGCAACTGATGATGCATTAAAAGTGAGGTTGGATCTTCGCAGCATCATGAATTGCGAGGATTAATAGGGATCGATTAACCTTCTATCCTAATTACTGAAGACTGAAATGTTGAACGTATTGCTTATAGGCGCGCAAGCGTTTCAGGGTCGAAAACTGGTGTTAATTTCTCTAGGGACCCAAGGAAGTAGTTATTATATCAGTTTTCCTTCAAATCTGGAAGTGTTGGGAGGTGGGGTAAGCATTGTTGAGGTTTAGGGAGTTTTGAATAACTGGTTCGATTACAATGAAAGGCCAGTTGTTATTGTTCGATATCTTGGTATACCAAGATATCGATCTAATTATAATTAGATCTAACGATCACTATACTAATATGCATATCCTAAATTGACCTCAGATTTGTTTTGTGTTTATATTATCAAGGACTTACATTAGTTTTTATATGCCCCACTTCGGTATGTATTCTTTCATCCGAATGCTCAGGTATCCCTGAGCAAGTTATCGATAACTTACCGATCGGTAAGTTTTTTTGTAATAAGTTTTATGGGACGATCAAAATTTTGGGTGATTAAACGCTTATGAAACTAGGCCAGTCATTATGTAAAACGTAGAGCTAACTGCAGGGAAAACACGGAGTTATTTAACAATTAGTGTTACTTCAGATCTCCACATTTTTAATCCAAGATCAAGGGTTATATTGAGTAGGAAATATTTATATTCTTGACTATTCAGTTAGCCTACTATGTCCTGTAAGCTATTTTGTCTATTCCAAGGGAAAAGTGTATTGAGTTGAAGGTTTTCTGGCATCCTGAGTACTACCTTGAAGTCTGGTGAAACTGTAATTAATGGACGACATTTGAGCAGCGCTAAAAAGTCCTTGAGAATGTCCACGTACATACTACGGCTAAATCAGGATTATAAACCAGTATGAGGAGTTAAGATTAATATTTACAGTTGATAGTTAGGGTTAGGAATTAGATCTCAAGTTTTAACCACTTACTGACATCAGCTATAATGCCAAAACTCTATTTAACCAAATGGATGAATTTGCGCCAAAATTCAAAACATGTTATCCTAAATCTGGTTCGTCCATAAATTATTCTCTCGCCTGAAGTCTTATAGTTTTTGATATAGCGACTTAATTTTCGAACTAATTCATTCCTCATTAATATCGTCATGGGAATCACACATAGCAGTTCTCTAAATACGTGTCGGGAGTTTCCAGTTTACTTTGTAACAGTTTTGGCCTACACACTTTTCATATTTTAGATCTTACGTGTTAGTATTTTTTGTAAAAGTGCCTTTAGAGGCTCATAGCGTCATACTACTTGTAAATTCAACAAAACGGTGGAGGTTCATAGCATTTTAGCTGTATCTTACATCAAGTCCTTAGTCGTTGTGAGTATAAACTAAATGCTGAGGTAATCGCCAATTTCGAAGAAACATGTACTACTGCCTGTCATTTATTGATTGCCTAAACGATTAAAGGAACTTTTTGTTGTCTACCAAATGATAACTTCTTTAATCACTGAGACATCACAAATATAACGTTCAGCCTTTGGTAGGTTTTCGTCTAGCCTAAAGGTACCTGGGGGAGTGTGAAGAGCATTATGTGAGGTTATTTGGAAGAGAAAAGAGTAATCGGCAACTCAGTAGGCACATAGAATGCACTTACATTTAATAACGAAGGCAATAGACAACAATAAAAAACAACACGAGGGTGAGATTAAGGCAATCTGGTAATCGAAGCTAAGAGTTGATAGTTTACGGTTCCAAACACTTAACACATATTCTTATCAAATTAGTCAGACAGTCGATATAAACAAAATCATTTAAATGTACGTTCGGAATTAATTAAAGCAAGAGGCATGCTCTGTCAAGCGTTCTTGGGCAGTGTTATTATTCTGCTTAAAGTGGACATTTTGGTCAGCTCAGGCCTTTGGATAGAATATGAAACTTATATTTGTAATTTGACTTGTGACAGCTGAGTTCAGCATAATTTCGGGTCCTCTGTTTAGAGTGATCCTATTTATTCGTACTAGATTAGTTTTATTCGAGGAGCAACTTGTAGTCGTAATTTCGTTAAATTACAGTATTAATAACCTATTATGCAACCAGCTGTTGTCTTGTGATATCTGTTATATCACAGATTACATGTGTAATATAAACTGTTCAACGGCCTCAGTCAAATCAACTTTCGAGTAAACTCATTCCGACACCTTAGTAGTCGGTTGACCCGTCATGTTATGATGCATGCTAAATAATATCCCGAAGTTTTCTACATATACAGTAGCTGGTTGGTTTTCATTGCCTTATTAAAAGTAATAACATTAAACAATTTAACAGGTTCGCCATTTTATAGTCAGTAAAATATGTGCATATAATCAAACATAGATACATTAAAAATATTAAAAAAAAACTACAAGTGGATAATCCAGGCAAATAAAGATAATAACATGCTGAATTCCATTTACATCGGTGAGAGTTTGTAATTAAATACTGATATTAAGCGTTCTTAAGAGTTTGTGTTCTAGTTGTAGAGGATTGTAATTCCCTTTTATTCCTATTCATTTTAGCACTAGAAATGACGGATGTAGTAGAAGCTCGAAGATGTTTTGGATGTCGTGTTATTTTCGAGACAGATGACGAATTTTGGCATCATATATTAAATGTGGATTGTAGTAGCTCGGTAAGCTCACCGAGTTTGGGGAAAGATGTATCCTTACCTTGTTCAAGCCAAGACGATAATAGACCATTGAAAAGTACACCGTCAGATGATTTATGTTTTTGTAGTTTGTGTGACAAGTGGTTTGTATCAAAGGCACAGTTCCTTGAACATTTTTCTTCTGCAGAACATGAGCAGAAATCCAAATTGGCTGCCAAAGTTCGTTTTAGTTCCGATGTCAATACAGGTAGCGAGAATGTTCAGTCACACTTGTTTTGCGATACTTGTCAAATAAGTTTGTCGTCTGCTCAGGCCAAAGAGGCTCATCTTGCTGGTAAGAAGCATAATAAGATGTGTAATCGTCAATCGAGCTCCGTAAACACACAAGGGGATTCGCATGTTACTCTCAAAAAGGGGCACACAAGCAATCAAGAAGTTTTAGAAAGGTTGGTGGGAGATTACGGTCAGTTATCGTCAACGAGTTCTGACAACTCTCATTCATCTGATAAAAATACCAGTCATGTCGTTCCTCAGTTTCGTACTGACGACGAGAACGATATTATACGTTTACTGCGTCGACTCTGTTTGACCCAAATACTATCACTTTTATTGAGTGTAAGTGAGGATTCATCGGTACACGTAGAAGGCAGTTGTAACAAGGTACAGTCGAAATATTCTTTGAAAGAGAAAGATCTACTTGAATTGACGAGAACAGTATGTAAAGAAGAATTACGCGCTATACTCCCACAGTCTTTACAACACATCATTTCTCAGACAAAAAACGCAGGTGACTAAATTTGCTGTAGGTTATTCTTATTGATGTTAATTTCATTACAATCGCTCATCTTATCCATAATTTTTACAAAGAAAGAAGTACTTGCTTTCTAGGAAATATATTTTCTCTACCATTTTTTAGAAGCTTCTGTTTTTCCATCAAATTCAGAAATTATTTTTATTTGTATTTAAAGTATTTCAGATTTAAATTAATCGAATTCTACGTTCACTTCTTGTTACTAATTATTTATTTCCATTTTTATCTTTCATATTCTTGTTTCAAGTATTGGGTTTGCGATCAGTTGACTCGACAGCGTTTTTGTGGAAATGAAAATGAGGAGACATAGTTTAGGGATGAGGACTACCTGTTGATATATGGTAATTGTATTTTCAACAGTTGTTCACGATATAAGGACTCATTTTGAAAATCCTTAAGTGCTTGGTGATCAGATTTTCTCTGTAACTGTAAGTTAGAGACTCATAATAAGTTAAATGCATTTCAACTTTGCTTGGCGGGACTGCTTTCATATGCGATGATAAAATGCATATGGGATTACAAACGAAAAGGATAGGAACGGTTATTTCTCGTCCTCATCCTATGGTATTTAAACATTGGAATTAAAAGTAAAGTTTAATGAATTTTAAAACACTCAATGTGATAGATGAAGACTGTCTGTGTATTCAGTCATGATTCAGAAAGAGTTATGACACATTAATGTACTGTAAATAGATACCTTGTTTGGTATAAATTCGTATAAATTTTTATAAAGCATTTGGAGTGAAAAAAAATTGGTGTATTCAAGTCAATGGATATCAACAATTTAAAAATACACTATAAAATGGTTCAAAGTTGATTGCATACAGACTATCTCAAAAACCTAGTAATGAGTAGGGAATATGCAAATTTATTAAACTGAAATATCATTAGTTACTTTGGTTTCGTGCAATTATGACATCTTGTGATTACGGATTTAATGATCCTTACTGAAGGTCAGCCGGTTTGGGGAGTTGTCACAAGCGATTTATTAATATATACACCCTGGATTTCTGTTCAGTGTATTTATTTTACATAACTAGTCTGATTGATCCCTATTGTATTTTTAATCGCATTTTAGAGTACATCAATGTTTTCATGTGGCTTTATTTTTTAACTAGTTTGAAAGGAAATTTCAGTAATTTGACAGGTTTGACAAGATTTCGCTAACTTACATGACGTGTATTACAATCTGAATTATCTAGTATATTAAAGGACTATTAAATGCCTAGTAGTTTGCTAAAAAGTGCTGTGTCGGAAATAAGGTTTGGTTGAATAATAGTACGCACCTAGACTAAAGATTTTGATCGAAACTTTTTTCTCTGTCGTGCTAAATTAAACCAAGGAAATATCCGAGAAAAATGTGAGTTCTTGAACTTACTGCTAATCAGACTAATAGGATATGGTGTATGATAAGTCAGCAACTAAACGTCAATTTACCCAGTGTGGATTTTTATAGCGTTGATCTATATAATAGGACATGGTACTAGGTACTTCTGAGATTGTAGGAAAACGCATTGTGAACCTGGGGAAGGGTCATATCAGTTAACGATCATGATCACCATAGGACTTGATATGAGTGCATGCCAGTTCAAGTTGAGCGAACTCCAGTAAGAAATCTTTCATTTCTTGGTGCTGTCCAGAACAACAGTTAATGACTTGATCCTCTATCCTGATCATTCTGTTCCTAAGTTATCCCCAACTATTCCCCTATCGGATAGTATTGTATATTAAAGTAAACAATAGTATATTTACAGATTGGTGTACTATGTTGAGAATCGCAACCTCAATAATAGATTTGCTATCTCTGCCTAGCACTCTACACTGGACTTCAGGTTTGCTCCCTCAGTATTTCCACTATAAGCGGACGGTGCTGTATAGACATAGTTGAATACTTAAAACCTACTCGTGTATTCTACTCTCATAGGTTATATTTTGTCATCGTAAAGCAATGCGACAGTGTTGCTTGGTATTTCTACCTCCTGATCAGATGAACACCACACCGACGTGGGCGGTGCGACTTAATAGAAAACAAGCGGGAGGGTTGTATATTTGCCAAATTTTTACCAGTCACAGACTGATTAGGGCTAGTGAGACTTCTAGTACGGAAGTACAAATCAATAGGAACGACGCGCTGATATGTGAAACGCAGATATATGGTGAACTGCCATTGATTCTAAATAAATCCAAATAGTACGGAAGCGTCTCAACTGTCATAGATATAATACTATCAATACAAATACAGTGAGAATAATGAGTTAATGACCCTCAATTACAACAAAAGCTGAAGAATAGCCAAGCCAAACAATTTTTTAGTTCTAAATAATATAAAGAAATAAAACCGATCCCGATAAGTCTAGAACTTCGACAAAACACAATAAAGAACTCTAATTCGAAATACATGGTATGATATTGTATTATTATGATAAGTTTGAACACAATATAAAATATTTAGCTGTACAGTAGATGCATTAGTCGTTCGCCACAAAAACAACTTGAGCAAGTGTTCCTTATAGTCTGAAGACAGGACTAAGTTTCATGATTATTGGGGTCGTTCGTAGAACGAGTAACCAGTCAAAACGGTAAGAAGCAAACATTCATAATAATGTCAGTGACTCATGGGGAAATATGTCAATTACAAGTAAGAAAGGTGAGTCACTGTTTTGGAAGACGTTGGTTTGTATAATACACAATACAAGTATACTAACAATACAGTATGGAATATCTTATAACTAATACACTTGAGGGTGCTACCTAGCTCAGTGAACACAAATCCACCAAAAAATTGACTGTTAACTCCCTTGGAGTAAATGCAGACGCATCTATCAATTTGCATTTTCGAGCTTTTGCGTCATTGTATTAACGGTGCATCGGCTAAGATTTCATGGCTTTCTTGCTTTTTTTACAGACCTTTATAATTACTAGAAACAATTACATTGAACGCAGGGTATCATGTTATGGGTATAATGAAGGCTTTTTAGTAAATATTCATGCTCAACAATAAGTTGTATTTTCTCAAATATCGTGGCAGTTTTATTCATTGGTTGGTTATTATCTTTGATACTAACGTTCCACGTGATTGAACTTCGTTCATATCTGGCTTCAACTAATATCCTCAGCCGATGCCAATATTATTTATCATACAAAAATAGTACGTCCATTTTTAGTTTTTGGAATCGATCGTAAGATGTTAGACTACTAAATCAGTTTGTATTACGGTTAATTATACATATAACTCCTTGGTAATTTTAGGTGGTGTTTTTTGTCAACTATGTTTACCGTATGCTAATTAAGTAAAACTGGAGCACCCAGATAAGCAGAAGCTGGCATAATATGAGGGTAGCAGAGATTCATGAAACAAAATGCTGGACTTCTGTTATGGATTCTTGCTATATACATTATTTTTATACTCGATGACTAAGAACAAATAAATCAAGTAACAACTAGAACACAAATGTTACTGAATATATACTCAAGTAATTGAATTAACCAGCGTGATAGGACTAAGTGGGCACACGTAAACCTAAGTAATAGTAGTATTAGAATAACACCAGAATTAGACCTTTTTGTAATTGGATTGGATTAATATTGACACCGACAATAGTATATCCAGCAATTGCATCGTAGTAAAATAGATTAAGAATTGCATTAGGTTGGTTCGATCTATATTGTATTGGAATGGAGTCAAACTGTCCATAGTATCAATTAACCAGCATGTCTTAAGTATTTATACATCAATATAACAGTGGAATATGATTAACAGATTGGTAGATGGGTGACCAAACAGAAATATTCGAACGATTCACATAAAAGGCATTCGAATTAATCAGACAACTGAGCACAAGTTAATCAACAGAACAGAATTAATGCATTCGAAACACATGCCCAATCAGATATCTTATTCCAAAACGGGTAAACAATTATTCCTATTCAAAGTGTCTGTTGAATACCAAACTTCTAAAAGTGAGTGATGATATGAAGTGTTCTTTTCGTAACATAATTAGCATTACTAGGATATACCTATTTGTAACAGTCTGCCACGTATTAGACTGTAGCGGTAAATAAATCCCTAAAATAAATAGCCCTGTAAGTTTTCGACATTGGATGCTGACCATATGTTTTAGTGGACTCATATAGCTGAAGGCGCTCGGTCATGCACCGCACCAGATCACGTGTGGTAACGCCGTGCTCAACATCTACCGCAATCGCTAGCCAGATTAGAACAGAGAATTCCGATATATTGGTAATCGCCAAATACACTCTTCCGATCTCCTGGACTCTGTCTTTTGATTTCTCTGGGTGGGAACGAAATATATTAGGTGTTACTGGTAAAAGCGTTGTCAAACACTGAATACCTGTGTCATCTTCATTGGTGAGACCGACGTGATCTGGTACACCTAATTGCAACTGTGAGTCTGTTCCTTTTTGGGATTTTTTATATATCATTGCCTTATTTTTTATTTTTTAAACATTGTGATTTTTTTCGTGTTTTTTCTTGGATATATATATATATTTTTCCCCTCGTTCATTATCGTACTTTATATTTCATCATGACTGAACAGACACCCAAAGTACTGAAGCTTAAGACTTTGTCCCCACCCTCGTTTCAACTGATGCCTTTCTGGCCCGACAACATCGAAGCCTGGTTCTGCTACGCAGAAGCCGACTTCCACGAGCACGGCGTGATCGACACACGTGCACAATTCCTCGCAGTAGTCAAGGCACTACCGCGCGAATTCAACAGGTACGTAACACCTAGTATGTTTACTAGTGATGTTTCCGATCCTTACGAAATCTTAAAACGCTCGATTCTTAAACGAGGAGACCTAACCGATCGACAAAGGTTAGATCAACTCTTCAACAATATCGACCTGCAACACAGTTCTGCGACGGACATGTTGCAACGGATGAGAGAGGTGATAGGCCCAAGAACTTTCGACGAAGGTCTATTCAAACAACTCTTCTTGTCAAAATTTCCCCAACAGGT